CTAATCTTGAATGCCTGAGTAAACATATTATTAGGGAAGCTCTCCATTGTTTTAGTATAAGTCTCTAGACTGAAAATGTGTAAAAGTTTCCTCTTTTCTGGTGGGGTCTTTAAAATCAAAGTAAGAATAGTCTGAGATGACTCACTGACAGTATTTCAAATAGCGCTCCTTTCTTCAATTTAGGTTTCTAATCATAAAATAACTGGTTTGGGAAGGCAATACTACACTTTAGTGATGAATACACTTTAAAAAGATAGGCTAGGTATTTTATTTTTTATACAGTATTCTAGGTATCAAGCTTTTCACTTTCAATTACACATGGGGTATGGCTTCACAACTCATGCTAGATGCCATTAGTTTTTATTTCACTGATCCATTTCCCTTACACATGCTGCTGTCCACACCTGCAGGATCAGAATAACAAGATTTAGAGCAGTGCGGTTACAAGAAAAGCTACTCTAAAGATGTCTAACTTTATTTAGGACGGGTTCACCTTGCCCTGTTCAGGTGTCCTAAATGGATCCTCTTATTCTGATTTGTTTAAAGATGCCACCTGTGTTTAGAGAACCAAAATAACTCTTGATTTGATTTTATTAGCAGTTTAAAACACTTCCTTTGTGGGTACCAGTGACTAACTTCCATACGGGTACCACAGCACAGGATTCAAGCAAGCTGGTAGACACTGAATGAGTACAGTGGGTCAGGCAGGGGGTCAGGTGCTAGTAACACAAAGATGACTAAGACACTAAGTGGCCAACGCAGGAAAGATGTTGAATGTGCAAACAATCTCTACAGAACTCAAGTGCTACAGCAGCTGTGGGTACAAAATGTTATGAGAACACACAGAGGAGGCAGTGACTAATTCTTTCTGGGAGAGTCATCAGCGTGTGTGGGGTGATGGAGAGTAATGGGACAGGGAGAACTAGATTAAAGAACCCCAGTCGACTTCTCATTAGTCACACTTCCCTTGGGTAACTGCATTCACTTCCAAGACTTCAACAACCACCCCAAGTCAACAACTTCATATATGAAATCTCAGCTCCCATCTCTCCCTTAGCTCCAGGTACATATTCTAATCTACCTCAGAACATCTATCTCTATATGTCTGAGACATCTCATATAAAATACATCTTTCTTACCTCCCCAGACTTTCTCTTCATTCCCATCCTCAGTTTTCAGAGTTAGTGTCCAAATTATAAACTTCATGGTCATCTTCTATGTCTCCTCATCCCTCACCTCCAAGTGGCCACCAAGTCCTATCAATCCTACTTCCAAAATCTCTCAAACCATCACTTCTTCTCTGTCCCTCCATTCCTTCTGTGGAGGCCTGCATCCTTCCTCCCTCCAACTACTACAATAGCCACAAAATGAATCTATCTACTCCAAATTCTGTTTCTATTTATTCATTAAACAAACTGGATACAAGGCATTATGGGTACTGCAGCAAACAAGACATGCAAAGAAAGTGCCTGCTTTGTGGACCTTTCTTCCTATTTGCCCACTCTAGTCAATTTTCTTTTAAGAATTAATCTGGTCATGGCACATATTGGCTTTAGGTCTTTAATAGCCTATCACTGCCTACAGGAGAAACTCCTAACATGGCCCACAAGGCTGTTCAACATCTGGCAAATCCTACTCGTCTAACCTCTTGTTCTGCCATCCTCTCACAGGCCTTTTAAATTCCAGGCACATCCAGTTACTTCCCTATTATTAAAACTGCACGTTTCTTCAGGTTTTGCTTTAACAAATGTTACTTCCTGTGGCTGGAACACTTTTTCCTCTTCTCCCCCTTGGGAAATCCTACCCCAGAGATTCCAAGTTTCCATGCCCAAACATTGCACTCATCACATGGTATATAAATCATGTTTAGAAGTCTGCTTCTTCCACTTGGCTGTGAGCTCCTAAAAGGACAGGAGCTGTATCACACATAAGTCCACCTTCATAGTAGACACTTGGTGACCCCTGGCTGCACGAGAAAGCAAGGAAGAACATAGAAATCGGAAAAGGTTAAGAAGCAAAGTCAGGAAAATTGGGAGAGGCAGCTCACACCTCACCTGATGTCCTGTCCAAAGTACTTATTTTGTGAAGTACTTTGTACCTCTCTGGGCTCTAAGGATAGAGCTTCCTTTGAGGGCATGTTTCTTAAAGAATAGGACAGAACATCTTTGAACACCATCAGGTAGATAGCAGAACCCACCCTTCTCATTCCTTTCAATGTTTCTGATTTGGCTGGAGAAACACAGAGCGCCATGAGTACTGGTATCACTTTAAATTCATTACCACTAAGTCCAAGTGGATCCTTAACGCCCCTCAGAAATCCTACATTTCTCCCTTTCACTCACTAGAGTCAATACTCATTTACGTTTCATGCTCCCCATTATTAGAAATAAACTGTGCTCCCAGCTAAGTCCAAACTTGCCCCACTTGGTCTATAGATTCCATTCCTTCCCGCTTACTAACATCACCCCAGCAATTCTATCCTCTCTTCTGTTTCATCGTTTTTCTCCTTCTCTACCAGACCATTTCTAATTTCTCTAACAAAAAAAAAAAAAGAAAAACCATCTCAAACCCTCTTCTCATTTGTTACCGCCCCATGTCTTTCCTTTCTAGAAAAACCTCCAGTTGCTTAACCCACTATCTCCAATTCCTTACTTCTTGTTCTCCTTGAGCCCTTGCCAATCAGATTCTCACCCTTATAGCTCCTAAAAATTGTTCAAGTTCACCAAAGAGCTCCATTAAAGAGCATTACACAGCTGATCATTCCCTTCCCCAATCAGGTTCTTCTCTTAGCTTCCGGATATCATTTTCTTTTGGTTTTACAGTAGTCATTCCTTCTCAGTTTTTTCTGATGGTTCCTTCCCATCTCCCCAATCTTTTTAACATTTGTGTGCCCCAGGGCTTAGTCTTTCCATCCACACACATAGTCTCCTGGCTTTAAATACCTCCTACATTAGTAACTCCAGTCCAGGGAGACTCTGAACTCCGGGTTCATATATCCAACTGCCTATTCAACATCTCCAATTAGATACCTAATAACCATATAAAAACTAACATGCCTAAAACCCAAATCTTGAAACCACTCCCTGCCCCAACACTGTTCTTCCCATTCTCCTCCATTTAAGAAAACCAGAATTCCATCTTTCAAGTTACTCAAGCCAAAATGATTGGAGTCATCACTGACCCCTCTTTATCTCACTCCACGTCTATCTGTTAACAAATCTAGTTAGCCCTACCTTAAAATGTAACTAAACTCCAATCACTTCTCACCACCTCCTCTATTACCAACTCACTGAAAATTAACATTGCCATAACCTCCTGACACCTTCAACATATCTGCCAGAGTGATCATTTTATAATTTAAGTCAAATCATATCACTTGACTGCTCAAACGTTCCAATGGCTTCCCATCTCAACCAGAGTAAAAACACATTATGGACTACAAGGCCTATATACAATCTGGCCACCTCTTATCTTCTGACCTTCTCTCTCTCCATTCTCCCTCTTGCTTACTCCACTCCAGCAACAATGGATTCTTCCTTCCTGTTCCCTGTACACACTTTCCACCTCAGGGCCTTTGCACTTGGTCTTCTCTCTGCCTGATTCTTCTCTCAGTTACCCACATGGTTCACTCCATCACCTTCTTCAAGTTTTGCTCAAATGTCACCTTCGAAGTCTTGACTGCCTTTTTTTTTTTTTAAATATCTTTATTGACTTCAGAGAGAGGAAGGGAGAGGGAGAGAGATAGAAACATCAATGATGAGAGAGTTGTTATTGATCGGCTGCCTCTTGCACTCCCCATATTGGGGATCGAGCCCACAACCCGGGCATGTGCCCTGACTGGGAATCGAACCTCGATCTCCTGGATCCTAGGTTGATGCTCAGCTGCTGAGCCACGCCTGGCCAGGCTGGAGTCTTGACTGTCTTGATTACCCCATTTAATACTGCAGCTTCCCTCAATACCTCATCCCTGAATTTTCATCACACTTATTACTACCTAACATATGTTTTACTGGCTTAATTTACGTTTAGTGTCTATCTCTCCCTACTTGAGTTCCATGAGAACAGAGATATTTATTTGTTCTGTTCACTACTGTATCCTCAGGGCCAATAACAGTGCTGGCATGTGGACATGGCTCAAAGGGTTATTTGTTGAATGAATAAAATGAGAAATTCTCAGTTGACTGCTAGTATGTCTTTGACACTCAACACTGCTAATGCCCTTTTCGGGCTCAGCACCTTAGCAGGTAAATGCATCAAGTCAGAATTTAGTAATATTAAATTGAAATGTTTTGCTTTCATTGCTTTTTATTTAAGATACTGGGTTTTCATTTGCTCTTTAAGAATCTTTAACTTAATACATGTTTTTAAGCTTAAAAAGTGAGTTTCTTCTAAGAAAAACATTAATAAACTATAGTGGGACTAGCAAAGAAACATGACAGAAATGGTGAAAGTGGTTATCTGAATGACTGAAGCTTAGCAACTCTCTTACGGTAGAGTTACCAGATAAAATACAGGACACCCAGTTACAGATAAATAATGAATGGTATTTTTAGTGTATGCCTCCAAATACTGCATGGCACACAACTGCACTAAGAAATTACTCATCTAAATCCTATTTTAAATGGGCATCCTTTTTACCCCTCTATAATCTGGCAACCCTCTCTTAGGAGAATAAAGAAATTACACCAAGCTTCTTGTCGTTTCCATTTAGATCTATCCGTACAAGCTAGCTGAACTCATGTCCTATCAACAGACTGCTTGGCTTTGATTCCCTGTGGGAGAGTATTGTGGAATGACGTTTTAAAACCAAAGAGGCAGAGGTCCACAGTGCATTTTGGGAGGGGAAAGGTCCTCAGAACAAGCAGCCCCGCCGCGTTAAACTGGAGGAGGAGGCGGGGAGGAGGGGGTAGCAGAGGGGTTGAGGGCCCAGCTCCCTTCCTCAGCCTCTCAGGCACCTGCTCAGCGAGGCCAAGGCTTGGCAGCCCCTTTCCGGCCCTTACCAATGTTGCCTTCGATGGAGAGCCTTCGGGGCCCGTGCCCCGCGTGCAGGCCCTTGGAGAGGGGCACGCCCTCGAGTGCGGTCTGAGCCATGAAACCGGAGGGTGCCCGCAGGAGCCTCAGAAATCGCCTGCCAGCGACCATCCTACACAGGATCCACGCAACAAACAGTTCCGCCGAGAGCACTTCCGCTCCGGGGAAGGGCGTCCATGCGTTTCGGCGCATCTCTGACGTCAAGAGACGGACGGGCGGGAAAGGGGAGGGGTGGAGCCGAAAGGACCTCCCTGTTCTCGCGATGTTTGTTGAGACGCGCTGTGAGAAAGAAAAATTGAGTTTGGGTTGCAGGGAAGTTTGCTGATGACAAGGGCATGATTAACCTCTATTTGCTCGTTGGCAAATTTTATTTTATTTTATTATTTTATTTTATTTTATAGAGACATAACAATTCCATCGCTTAGCATTTTTTGTATAACTTTAAAAATTTTCATAACTAAAGACAAATTAAGGTAATTGTAATTTTAAACGAGGTTTCTTTCTTCCAGGTGTTTCTTATCTGGTGTAATAAAATGGGATGGATCGGACGGTTTTCAGTAGGAAAACGATGCAATCTGATGATTTACACAAATTAACTTTTTCCCGTTCCCTGTGACGTGGCAGCACAATGCGGGCACGTTATTGACTAAATCAACAAGTGGTTCGGTTACACCCCACTTCTTACTTTGTTTCTAGAGTAAATAAATAAACGTTTGCTCAGCCGACGTGAGTCGTAGCCAAGAACCCCATCGGGATAAAGTGGGTGGAGGCTCGGGTGAGACAGGAACTGGTTTCTAAACTTGACAGATCGGGTTCTGCGGCGGCGAAGGGCGGGGCGGGGAGCGCTGGGGATTCCGAGTGGGTTTGCAAAAGGCAGAGCCAGGGCAGAGAAACTGAACAGCCGGCGTCTGAAATCGGGGTCTCGCTGTGGGTGGAGAACTGCTGTGCAGAGGAGCAGGGACGGTTCTGAGCTGCTGCTGCTGAGCGAGGCCCTGACTGGCTTTGCCCGCCACACCCAAACGTCTCACCGACCGCAGGTTTAGGACGTGCGGTCAGGGGGTGCTTCCACCTTCCCCGGTTAAACCGCAGGAGTCAAAGGCAAACCCGCCTTCGGGCAGCACGCAGAGGTGGGAGCTTTTAGGAAGCAGCGACCTGCTTGCAAGGGGGTGGGGAGGGGTCGGTGGCTGGGACACCTGTCTTGAAGCTGTTTGCATAGCAAGCACAGGTCCTTTTTCCTATATTGATGTTTGTATATTAAACACATTATTTAAAAATATATATTGTAAATTTATTTAGGATAACCTGGGTGGAGGGCTAATGGACACTGGAACAGCTAAAGTCTGTTTCATCCCCCACCCTCAGCCACCTCTGTGTAAAAATACTACTTACATTTCTTTATCTGTGTAAACTCAGACTGGAAAAATATTCATCTAAAAAAGTCTGAGAGGCTCTCTGGGCCCCCAAGATCTCGCTTCAATGCCCTCAGATTCTCTGTGAAGGCTAAATGAGGAAGTTGTCAGCAGGCTTAGTGCAGACAGGCAACTAACCTCTTAAAAGTTAAAGCTCCTAAAAGTTATTATTATTATTATTTTTAAAATATATCTTTATTGATTTCAGAAAGAGGAAAGCAGAAGGAGAGAGAGGGAGAGAAACAAACATCAACGATGAGAGAGTCATTGATCGAACCCGCAACCAGGGCATGTGCCCTGACCAGGAATCGAACCTCGATTGCTTGTATCCTAGGTCGACGCTCAACCGCTGAGCCACGCCCGGCCGGGCAAAAGTTATTATTTTTTAAAACTTTAGTGAAGTATAGTATGTAGTGAAGAAAAGAACATGTATCATAAGTGTACAGTTTAATGAAAATTTTCACAAACTGAACACACCCCTGTTACCTGGATTCAGATCAAGAATTAGAGCATTATCAGCATCCCCAGAACCCATTTCTCATGCCAGTTTCTAGGTAACCAAGAGCCCAGCTTCTAACAGTAGACAATAGTTTTGCCTGTTCTTTCTAGAAATGAAATTATATAGTAAGTACTAATTTCATTCACCATACTACCTGAGATTTCTATATTATACATGTAGTTGTAGTTCATTCATTCTCATTGCTGTGTAGTATTTCACTATGTCACTCTACCACAATGTATTTCATCCATTCTACTGTTGATGGACATTTGAGAGTTTCTAGATTTGGGCTATTATGAATAGCATTGCTGTGAATATTCTCGAATATGTGTTTTGGTAAAGTCAAGTTTGTATTTCTCTTGGGTAGATACTTATGAGTGTAATTGCTATGTGATAGGCTATTTGTATGCTCAGCTTTAGTAAATATTCCTAAAAATAAATACTTCCACAGTGTTTGATTGTACCAGTTGATACTGCCACCAGCAATGAGTGAGTGCAGCTCTGGTTGTGCTACATTCTTACCAACAGTTGCTATTGTCAGTTTTTTTCACTTTTTTCATTCTGCTGTATATAATGGTGTCTTATTATAGTTTTATTTTGCATTTTCCTGATGACTAATGAAGTAAAACACCTTTTAATGTTTATTGTCCATTTCAGTAACCTCTCTTTTGAAGAACATGTGCCCATTTTTCTACTGGCTGTCTGTCTTTTACTTATTGTTCATTATATATTTTGCATATGAGCTGTTTGTGAATATTTTCTCCCTGTTTCTTCTAAAAGCTTTCATTTTTTAAATTTATGTTGTAAAGTAAGAAACTAAAATGTCTTTTGCCTAACTTGCCTGTCAATCATCTCAATATTAGTGATGATTCTTCTATTCCCCATTATTTCTTTATGCTTGTTTTATTGTTATACCATGCATAAAAATTCAATATCTTTCTTGGCCTTAATTCCAAATTCCCAGAAGAAAGGACCTGATTGGCCCAGCTGTGTCCAAAAGATAGCTCCAAACGTGTTAGGTCCCCACCCTTGTGCATGAGGAAGGGGGGCAATTAAAGGGATGGTCGTGCCCAGCCAGCATGGCTCAGTGGTTGAGCACTGACCTATGGTCCAGGAAATCGAGGTTTGATCCCCAGCAGGGGGTGTGCTGGAGGCAGCCAATCAATAACTCTCATTATTGATATTACTCTTTCTCTCTCCCACTCCCTTCCTCTCTCTGAAATAAATAAATAAATAAATAAATAGATGGATGGTCGTGCCCTAGATAGTTTTGTTCAGTGGTTAGAGCGCCAGGCCTGGGGACTGAAGGGTCCCAAGTNGATGGTCGTGCCCTAGATAATTTTGTTCAGTGGTTAGAGCGCCAGGCCTGGGGACTGAAGGGTCCCAAGTTCAATTCTGGCCAGGGGCAAGTACCTCGTTTGCAGGCTTGATTCCGGCCCCAGTTAGGGTACATGTGTGAGGCAACCAGTCTATGTGTCTCTGTCACATTGATGTTTCTCCCCCCACCCCCTGAAAAAGCAATGGAAAAGATATCCTTGGGTAAGGATTATGAATAAATAAATAAATAATTGTCGTGGCAAGGAAGACACCTAAAAAAGGTGGTGATCAGTTCCTCCTAGAAGTAATAAACAGGATGTCATCATCCCACCTCAAGGTGTTGGCCAGAGGACAGGAAGTAGCGGCATGTTAGTGAGCAGCGTTACGCCCCAGTTGCCTGGAAGAGTGAGGCCACTTCTTGCTCCTGGGGGACTGTCAGATATCTGCTGGAGTTTATGAGTAAGAGCTGATTGCCCTACATGAGCTCTAGCCATTTAGTATCCATTTCTTCATTCAATATTTACTGAGCATCTACTATGTACCATGCACTCTGCTTAGTCCTTGGAGGTGGTATAGTATGAATACTAACTTTAGAGTCAGCTACATTTGTATTTTAATCTTGGTTCTGGGTGATCTTCAACAAATCCTTAACTTCTCTGAGCCTCCATTTCCTCATCTGTAATATGGAGGTAATAATAGTGGCTATCTCACAGGGTTATGTGTGGATTAGAAATAAGGTGTGCAAAGCCATTCGTGCTGTGTGTGAGACATAGTGTGTGCTGAGGGGCGGGGGGAGGGAGGGGCAGGAAGAGCTCCACACAGAGAAGTAAGGCTTGCAGGTTTTAATGTTTCATGATTGGTAACAGCAGTCTCAAGGAGATCCCCAGAGAATCTGTTCTGACTTTAGAAGCACTTCCTGTGGACAATGGAGGGCCCTGCCTCGTCATACTCTGGCTTGCTGATCCACATCTGCTGGAAGGTGGAGAGAGAGGCCAGGATGGAACCTCCGATCCAGACTGAGTACTTCCGTTCCGGGGGAGCAATAATCTGCAAAGAGTAAATGTGGTGAATCATGATCAGTCCCCAAGAGAACAGGAAGGTGGTTCAGGAATCATCTCACACTGCTGGGCTGCCCCAGAAAAGGACAGCCTCCGTGGTCAGAAAGAAATAGGGTAAACCTTGTGGTAGATTGGGTTATTGTTCAAATCTTCACTCCGCCCCCTCCCCGGGGAGATTGTATTGTTTCGCCAAGTGACTTTGGGCTGGGCTCTGTGTTTGCTTTGGCCAATAAAATGTTAGCAGACAGGAGTCAAGTAGGAGATTCATATGTGCCTCAGGCATACAGCTGGGCATACTCTCTTGTGCCTCTGCCATCTTCATGGAAAGAGCTCCCCTGAGGAGCTGCTGGCCCTTCAGCCTGGGTCCTATAATGTGTGAGAGATGTGGGCCTGACCTGAGCTGGCCGGACCTGCAGAGCTGCCTAGCCAAGCCTGACCTAGATTAGCTGACTCCCAGCTGGCCTGCAGGTACATAAGCAATAAATGCTAATTATTACATGCCCTATGATTTCATAGTTACTTGTTAGCCAGCAATAGCTGACCATCTACAGAGGAAGTGCTGTTCCGTTCTTGCCTGGAGTTGGATTCATGAGCAGCTCAGGCTGGGTTTCCTCCATGCCTGAGTATGAGCCAGTCTACTCAGACCCCGTCTTGAGCTTCATCTGCCAGCAGCCACTTGTACCTGAGAAGTTCTTAAATTCCTCCACACATTGTTCATTCTTGTCACTGACCTTAGCCTTTAGAAACTGGTTGTCCTGTCAACCAACTTTGAACTCTACCTAAAAGTACATCTAGAATGATCTAAGAATCCAGTGCTAGAATAAACCAGAAATTAAATTGATTTTGGTTTTTCTGG